TTTTTTTGCTATAACTGAGAGCTGATCTGTAAGTCTTGTATACCCAATTAATTTAATGTATATTAGATGTATCATTTCTAAAAGTGGATTCATATAAAGCTATGGTATTATCCTTAAAGTTATTGCTTCTGCTTTCCTCTCTTGCAGTGCCTTCTTGATTCTCTTGGAAATAGAGTGCAGCCTGTTTGTCATAGATTGTTGTTCTGTTGGTTGGTCTTTATAAAGATCATCCGATTTTGAGCCTACAACCTTAATTTGTAATTTTATTAATTGAAACTATTATGTTATTACAAATGAGTAGTTATATATATATTATAACAAATCTTATCTATATGGATAGCTATATATATATTTAAACTAATACTATATATCACCATTACCAACCTAACACCAAAACTGAAAGGCTATACAATTTCATTTTAATTATTTTTAGAACAGTTTTTTATTAAGAATATTCTAATTATCAGGCCATTAAATTTAGTATCCTAGATCCCAGTTTTTAATCCTTCGAAGTGGTCTGCAAATTTCTCTTCCTATTAAGACTTTCTAATAATCAAGTTTATAAAAGCTAATATAGTCATATGCATAAGGACCGGACTGACTTATTATGGAAAAGTTTTTTTTCTTGCACATGAGTTTTTGTGTTAAGTTATTTATATTTTTGAACAAGTTGTGTTCTTGTTTTGGTCCTGAGAGGCATATTATCCATTTGGGAATCTACTCTTCTTGCTATTATTTCTAGTAATATGATTGTGTCAGTAATAATTCTATCTGATTCAGATCACAACTTGATCACAAATTAGATATAGACCAAATGCTATATTTAGAAACATTAGTTAATTTACAGTTACGCCAATAAACAGATTCAATTTTTTGTATCAGTCTTATATTTTGGTGGAATTGAACTTAGATTTTGTAATTGGATCTATGGAGTATTAATCACTGCACTATCAATCCATGGATTATAATAATATATTATAAATATTTTAAATAAAACAAATATATAAAATATAGTATTAGAAGTAGAATTTATAAAAATATAATTACATTTATTTTATAATATCTAAAGGTAAATAAATCAAAAAAACAATTAAAAGTATTATAAATAAAATTAGACTAATAATATATAATATATAATATAATAAATATTTTTATTTCTATATATAGGAAATTGTTTTTTTTTAAACCCTCTGTCAAGCTAGTTATGTGTGCTTTATTAAACAATTGTAAGTTATACATATAGTATAAATTGCTAAAGCTAAAACTTTAACTAGTTCACTTATCTCAGTAATTACTCTAAGTGCAACTTTGGAAGTGATTTTTCACTCTATTAAAAGTTCAGATAAAGACCCTTTTAACTTTTAATATCATTGCTTGCAAGTCACTGCTATATCTATATATAGGAAATTGTATAGAAAATCATTAATATAAAGAAATAATCAAAAATAAAATAAAATAAAAAGAATTAAAAAATTAATTATAATAATACTAATTATATTATATTTAACAAACTTTTTGTAACAATTATCTTTAATACTTACAATATTTTAATTTTTTCAATAAAATATATTAATGGAAATTTTTTTTTATAAAAACTTTATTTTCTTTAAAAAATCTTAATTAAAAACTTTTTTGTATTTAAATTAATTTTTCTATAATATTTTTTTTCAAATTATTTAAAAAACTTATTTATTTGAGACTTTGATTATTTTTTTGTAATTATTATTTTTTTTTTTAACTCACAATCATATTATAATGGCTTGATTTTATTGAATAATTGAAGTAAATCTACAATATTTTACAGACTTTTACAAAGTAATTAACTTGTCTTTATACAAAAGTATTCTAAGTCAGATTTTAAAAACAATATTATACTTCCCTAATAGATTGGTAATAATATCTATCTACCAGGATTATTGTCAACAGTTTGTCACTATTAATTGCTCAAAAACCAATGTATTGCTAAGTTTAAAAAGGAAAAGGAAAAAAATAATTGAGGAAAGTAGACAATTCAAGGCCTATCAAAAAAATCTAAAAATAAAAATAAACTTTTCTCAAAAGAGATCTGCCTGATTAGAATAGTCTTCTTGCTTTACTTGAATCTTGAAAGAAATCTTTTTTTTTATCACCTATGATATCAGATGAACCAATCCAACTGGTCTTTTATTTAAGTGAGTACTAAATTGGAATATCTCAAGGAAAGTATTTAGACCTCAGCTTTTTTCTATTAAAGCTTTGTCACTACTTGAGAAACTTAGGTAAGAGATGGAAGTTTGTAATCCACATTACCTATCACTTGATCTTTTAATGTTATAGAAGTTTTCATTAAGGGACTTGAGTATTTGGGAATAAATATTTTCAGAACCTTCTTTTCAATCACCGATGATATTATTAGAACACATGAATGTGACCAATAAGAGCTTGTTTACATTCCAAAAACTAATATATTTCATATTAACCAATCACCTTTGGTGAGAATTTGTACTACTCAAAATCCAGAATCAAACTGAGATAGACAAAATTTCCCAAAAATCATGAAAGCGATAGTTCTAAGAGATCCATAAGTGACTAAAAGAAGAAAAATAAGCCTTTTTGTCATTAAAAACCTCTATATACCTCTCACTTCAAAGGTTAAATAGATCTTCAGGTACTTTACAATCAGTTCTTCTTCCTTTGAGAACTTTCTTACCATTGATATCAAAGGTGTATGTTATTTGACTTTTTTTGGTCATTAGAAGTCAAATTCTTGAGTAAAAAGGTTTGTAAACAAAAGAAAAGAGATAGAAATGACTTTTGAAGTCATACTTCAAAAGGTTTTAAAGAAAGTATTAAGACCTTATTAGCAAAGAAATATAGAAACTTCTTGCAAACATTTTTTTTGTGTATAGTCAAGGGATCAGCGGAAAAAGTTTTTTATTTTTTTGTAATTATTTAAAATACTTTACTTATTATTTGTTTAAATATAATATTTATTTAATATTTTTCTTTTATTAAAAAAAAAAATAACTTATAATCAGTTGTTTTTTAATTTTATTGTTTAATTAGAATAAAAAAATAACTTTTTTCAAATGCTTAGTTAACTAAAATAATAATAAAATAAAAACTTCAACTTGAATAAATTCATATTTTTTTATTATTTAGAAATTTAATATTTATTTTAATAATTTTATAGTTTTTTTTTGTTTTAATTATATATTCTTTAAAGAAATAAAGAAATTTATATTATTGATTTTTTTTTTTATCATAATATCATTAAAACATATATTATAATTAATAAAATGAAAATAATTATCTAAAAAAGAAAAATCAAATATTCCTTATTAAAAAACTTTAAAATTTTTAAATTAATAATTATAAAAAAACTATTTACAACAATTTTTTTTATTATCTAAATTATTAATTTATAATATTTTTTGAATTTTTTCCTTATTAAATAAAGAGCTATAAATTTTATTTTTCAAAAAAAAAATATATAAGTGATCAGCAAAATTTTATATAATAAATATATTAAAAACTTATTATTATAATAAGAATTTATTTATATTTTGATATTAATATGTTTTGTATTGATTAATTATCTTTAATAAAAGCTTTGTGTATTTATATTACTTCAAAATTCAGTGTCAAACTAAAATAGACAACATTTTTTAGAAAGTTTAAAAAATAAATAATTATAAAAAAATAGAAACAATGAATAAAAAAGTTTTTAAAGTTTAAATTTTTATTTATCTTTTTATTGTAAAAAATCTTTATATATATTTTTGCTTCAAGAAATAAAATTTCAATATTTTACTATTGATTTTTTTTTCTTTTAGAACTTTTTTACAATAAATATAAAAGATATTTTTTGATATTTTTTGATTATCAAAAGTCAAGTTTTTGTTTAAAAAAAAATATAATTTAAAGAGAGAAAGTAAAAAAAATTCTTGAAATTATTCTTCAAGTTGATTTAAAAAACATAATAGGATTTTATTGATATAGAAGTATAAAATTTCTTGTAAATATCTTTTTTATATATATAGTAATTAAAGAATTAATAAAAAAAGTTTTTTGAAAGTTTTTTATATTTATATTATACTATATTTCAATTCAGAATTATATATTATATTATATATGATATATTATTTGTTATATTTATATTATATTATATTATAATTTGAAACTATTCAATATATTAATTGATAAATAACAATTTTGACACTTTATATTACTATTTATCAATTTTTAAAAATGTCAAAAAAGTCTTTAATCTCAATTATATTTAATAGAAGTTTAAAAAATTATTTATAATTATAGTGAATACAATGGATTATTTGTTGATTTACGAATAGAATTTTTATATATCAAAAAAAAACAAAAAAAAAATAAAGAATTCATGTTTCAACAATACAGAATAAAAAATATTTTATTAAATTAAATTTTATCATTAAGCACATATAATTAATTTGACTTTTCAACTTATAAAGTATTTTTTGTTTAACAAATATTTTTATCAAATAAAACAAGAAAATTCGAAAAATAATATCAACTAAAAATAATATATTGATCATAATTTAATAAATAATTAATAAAATCAAAGAAGAATTATTGTAAATGTTTTCTATAATTTACAAATAAATAATACATGATTAAACCTTCATTACTTCAATAGCAAACTTGGTTGGATTATAGTTTTATCATTTGATTTTTTGTATAAACAGGAAATTGGGTATAAAAAGTGATTTACATAACGCATCTCGCAATCCGATCGTCGACATCTTCTCTTTCTGCCTTAAAAAATACTACTACGACGGTATCCTTTAAAATAAAATAAAAAAATGACATTTTATTCAATGTTTACATCGATAGGATTTTATGATTTGGTTTGGAACATTTTGTTATTGTTTGCGCTTTACGTTTTCCGATTTTATTTCAAATACTTTACGCGATCGAATAAATTACCCGGGCCCATTCCGCTCCCTATCGTTGGAAACCGTCTTCGGTATAGTGGAAACCCGGCCATGTGGGTCTCGGAGCTTCAAGAGAAGTATGGCGACATGTGTGAATTATACATGGGCACGGAAAGACACGTTTGGTTATCAAATGGTGATCTTGTCTCGAAAATTGTCAGCCCCTCGACCACCAATAATTTTTTGATTCGCATCACGGCTCGACAAGGTCTTGATGAAATTGATGTCACCACCAAGGGGATCACCTTCAATCGTAGTCTAGAATCGTGGTCGTTCAATCGAAAGTTCTTTAACCAAGCCATCAGCGCCTCAAAATTCCTAAAGCAGACCGTGGAAAGAGCACACGAGTTTTTTTCGGAAATGGAAAATTACTGGTCGAATCTTGATCCGGATGCCAATTTAAATCTCTCCGAATGGATGTCTCAATTCATGATGGAACTTATTTTTTTCATGACGACCAATAGAAGAGCTCATACTCTTGCGAGTTATTACAACATGATATCGGAAAATAAGGCGGAAATCCCGGATACTGTCTTGAAGGAAGCAGGAACTTTTATCAAGAACATTGAATCTTGGCTATGCGCTCTGCAATTTTTCATGGATACACCAAAACTATGGCGAGATTATATACCGAGTTTCAGGAGGAGAGCGGATGCGCTGAAGGGTGATATCAATAAAGTCAATCAGTCCTTTCTCGAGCTTATCCGAGATCGGAAACAGGAGATTGATAGAACGCCCTTGGACGAACCGTTAAGAGCTGACATGTTGACAATGCTGTTAACAGTTAATACTCCACGCGATATTACCACAAATATAGTGGATGATGAGCATACAAGGCCAATGTCGGAGGACGAAGTTCGAGGAAATTTGCTGGAAGTAATTGGAGCTGGTGTCGACACCGTATGTCCTCTTTATAGCTACCAACACATTTTTTACTTGTCACGTTTTGGCTGATGCGTCTTGTGGAATTACACAGACGTCAAATACCTTTTGTTTCATTGTATATCATTTGGAGCATTATCCCGAAGTGAAAGAATTGATGATGAAAGAAATTGATTCCGTTTTTGGCAACGAACCCGGTCGCCCGATTACACAGGAGGACTTGAATAAATTGGCATATTGCGAAGCAATCATCAAAGAAGGTGGTTTTCCTGATTTTGGTTGAGCATTCAGGTTGCCAGCTAAGAATTACTCTCTGATAACATGCAGTATCATTATTTTTTATAATCAGTATCTCGCGTAATGTCAATTGTGTCAGTTATATTCAGGATGGCAGTTAAGAGTGACAAAATTTCGGGTCATCATTTCGGCGGTTCGACACAATTTATGCTTAATTCTTTGGGCATTCACAATCATAAATCTCACTGGAAAGATCCAGAGATATTTGATCCCTCTCGTTTTATGGGGGACGAAACCAATCCAAGATCAAAAATTCATAAGAATTCGCTTTTGATTTTTGGTGGAGGGTTACGTATGTGTATGTATCGAATTTCTATATATTGTGTAAAAGTCGTTATATTATGTATTTAAAGATGGTAACTGCTTATTAACAATGCACAGGCCCGGGGAAAAAATTTGCCATGACAGTAATCAAAACCTTGATGGTATTGTTATATAGAAGGTATGATGTTAAATTAGCAGACATGAATGCACCTCTAAAGTGTCATTACTCTGTGGTGAAGCATTGTGATGATCTCAACGTTCGAGTAAGGCCAAAGATGAATTCGTGAAACCTTTTAGGCATTAAAGAATGCCATGTGTGTCACTCATAATGTGTGAGAACCACGGGTTTGAGACTTGACCTTGCATGCCCGTAATTCACCGTCACGATCATCCAGTAACTCTTGAATTTCGAAGCCTAAAGGAAAATCCGAATTTTGTGTTATGATGGTTTACATTACATTGAATGATATATCTTCTCAAACCACTTTGGTCATCTGACGGTTTCTAGGTTTTAATGGACACTAAACGCGACAATAAAAAAAAAAATAAAAACACACGCGTCATATCAAATGAGATCATGTGCAATAATAAACACCGTCAATTATAAAAAGAATGTGCATGACCATCTTTCCATCATCGGATTGCTGCGCCATTAACAAATTAATAAAAGGTCAGATCTTCGAAAATCTTTTTTTTTTTTTCCATCTCACACATAATTACGCGCACGATGTCTGACGCGAACGGAAAAAAGATCAAGCTCAAGAGCAGGTTATTCGATTTTCGTGTGCTCTTTTAGCTGATAGTCAATTTTCTTATAAGTCAAGTCTCTTTTGCCTTATTAAAAAAAAAAAAATTGCAAATTATCTTATTGTAGTTTTAAGGTCTCGCAAACGATAGGATCTATATATACTGGCGGCAAGGCGACCATCACATCAGATGAAAATTTGCTAATAACCGCCGTTGGAGAGGATATTAATGTTACGGATATTCATAATGGGAAAACGATGCTTCGATTGAGTGGCGTACGTAGAAAAAAAAAAAAAGAAAGAGAAAGAATCACCTTTGCATCACTTTCACTGTTTCGACCTCCTAAAAATTATGCTCACAGGACGGCGAGATGATTACCACATTTGCTGTGACTCCTGATGGAAGACATCTCGTGAGTTCGAGCAGAAGCCTAAGCGTAAAAATATGGGACCTGACGACGGGAAAAATAAAAAGATCTTTTAAGGTATTTAAATGAAGCATACTCCTCGCCTGGTTTTTTAGGTTGCAAATTCTAGTTTCGCAAAACCATTCTTATCTAAATGAATTGCGAAATCAGGCGCACGAGGCACCCATAATAGTAATGGATATTGATGCTACCTCAACGTTAGTGGCAACAGGATCTGCTGATAGTACAATTAAAGTGTGGGACATTGACGGCGGTTTTTGTACGCATAATTTTAAAGGTCACGGAGGACTTGTTAGTACCTTGAAATTTCATTCCGAAAATGATCGTTGGACATTAATCTCGGGAGCCGATGATTGTAATATTCGTATATGGGATTTACAAAGCCGAACGTACGATTCACGTCAAATTTATTTTATTTTATGTATCTTTTTATTTTAACAAAAAAAAAAAAAAAAAAAAAAAAAAAACAATCCTCCGTATTTCGGTTGTCTAAGGTGTAAATTATTTTAACACTCAGATGTATCGGTGTGCTAAAGGGTCACGTCAGCATAATACGTGGATTGGACGTGACGCGTGATGGTAAATTCATAATCAGCGGTGCGAGAGATAAAGTGGTGAATATTTGGGATTTTGGTAAAAAGACTCTGGTGAATACTTTTATCATGTATGAGGTAATTATCACTTTGAAAAAAAAAAGAAGCTTTTACTACCTATTATTATTTCATATTCTCTAACAATAGTATCATTTTTGATATACAGACGATAGAAAAGCTAGGTGTATTACAGCCTCATACAAAAATTGATGATATTGAAGATCCTTCCGTGGGGGAAATGTTTTATACCGGCGGTGATAAAGGTTTGTTTTGAGAGTTCAAAATTTTGCATTTCATAGTGATACTAATGGTGTCATCACCATTTGAAATAGGAATAATAAGGATTTGGGATTTGCAAACCGGGAAACTTATTAAAGCGCAGGAACCGGAAAAAAATACTACTCACATCATATTAGATATAATGTATCTTTTCTCATACCGTCTACGATAATCTTTACATTTTTTTTTTTTTAAAAAACAAACAAACAAAAATTATTGCTGAACAAATTTTCATAGATACCTTCGTAAAAGCGATATCTTGACCGCTATTACCAGCGATCAGAATATTTTGTTCTATCAAATCGCTAGTGGTCTTAAGCGCGTAAAACAAATAGTGGGTCATAACGATGAGATTATCGATCTTGCGTACGTTGGTCCCGAAGAATCACATCTCGCCGTGGCAACAAATACCGAACAAATACGACTGTATGATGTTCAATCTTTTAACTGTAATATCATATACGGCCATAAGGATATCGTGATTTGTTTGGCTCGCTCATATGACGGCAAGATGTTGATATCCGGTTCCAAAGACCGTACCGCAAGGATATGGAATATCGATGTGAACAATGAGACAGCTGATGAGAGGGTCAAATGTATTGGCGTGTGTGTCGGTCACACGGAGACAATTGGTGCTATAGCTTTATCAACAAAGAAAAGCAAGTTCTGTATCACAGGAAGCCAGGATCGGACCATAAAAGTTTGGGACCTGAGTCCTTTAGGTACTTGTTGGCTTTTCAACTTTTGGGATGCAAGTTGTTTGACACCCTAACATTAGATAGAGGATTTATTATGAATTTTTTTTTTCTTAAATAAATAAATATATATATATCGGCGATAGATCCGGATACATCCGACGAGAATTTAAAGCCGAAAGCATTGTATACTCACCACGCTCACGAAAAAGACATTAATTCAATAGCTGTTTCTTCAAATGATAAGACCTATGCCACAGGATCACAGGACAAGACCATTAAAATTTGGTCTGTTGTTGATGGGAGTCTACTTGGAACGTGCGTGGGTCACAAACGTGGCGTATGGTCTGTACAATTTTCACCCGTGGATCACACTTTGGTTTCTAGCTCGGGTGACAAAACCATTAAGATTTGGTCATCCACAAATTTCTCGTGCCTAAAGGTAATCAACGCTCCCTCCAGCTTGTACTGCGATATTCCAATTCTATAATCGTCTCTATTGACATCATCGCTCTTACACTTTGTGGTAGACATTGGAAGGCCATACTAACTCGGTTCTCAAGGTATCGTTCTTAACATCGGGGTTGCAATTAATATCCTGTGGCTCAGATGGCCTTCTTAAACTTTGGACAATAAAATCAAATGAGTGTGTGGCCACGTTGGACAATCACACTGAGAAAATATGGGCTCTGGCGGTGCGCAAAGATGAAAAAGTTGTCGCGTCGGGTGGTGCCGATTCTTTAATAAATTTGTGGGAAGACATTACCATTGAGGAAATTGAACAGCGCATGAAATTAGAGGAGGAGATAATTATAAAGTGAGCTTCCTTTATCCTTTTACTTATCCCAAGAATTTTTTCTGATTGTATCTCCACGTTGCTCCTCTTGATCATACGATTTCAGAGAGCAGGATTTATCAAACTACTTAAAAAAGAAAGACTACAGAAATGCCATCATTCTCGCGATATCTCTGAACCAACCCTTTAGGTTACTAACCCTCTTTACGGAAGTTTTCGATAACAGGCCAGAAGGTAGCAGCGAAATTATATTCAATCGTTGCCATTTGCACATTTATATTCGCCATGGTTAACAAGTTGGGATTGAAATACTGCACACTGTATATATAGGAGATACAAGTATAACAGGATCAGGGTCCATCGATGAAATAATCGGCACTTTGTCCAAGGAAAACCTTGAGCAGATGCTTAAATACCTAAGAGATTGGAATACCAATGCCAGGCACTCGAGAACCGCTCAAATTGTGTTGAACGTGATCCTAAGAAAATTTTCATCTCAGGATTTGTTGGGGATAGCGGACATCAAAGAGGTATTATTATTATTATTATTATTATTATTATTTGCGCTTTAGAATCCTCTAGTAATACATCTATCAGGACCTTCGAGATATTGACTTTTAATCCTTAATCACTTTTTTAGCTGTTGGACGGATTGCTGCCGTATACGGAGAGACATTATCAACGTTTGGATCGAATGCTCACAGACTCGTATATAATCGATTATACATTACATGCGATGGACCTATTGGACCCTATTGGCGGAAACGAGATGGATATCGATGAACAAATGAGTCCATCAGACGGTCTTGGTTAACTCCTCGTCTGTAACAATTTTTCAGAAAAAAAAAAAATAATAATAATAGAATAATTTAATAAATGAATATCGCATAATCCGTTTTAATGATTATCGAGTAATTCGATTCTGTCTAGAATTTCTCATGTTAACAAAACAGATTAAAGTGAAAGGTCACATCCGATTTGGTGTGACATTTTATCTGATGAACTAACTGCATATGTTTGGTAACAGAAATTGTTGTCAGGTCTGAAACAAGAATAATGAATTAATGAGGACAACATATGGAAAACGATCTACTCGATCGACAAGCGGTCGCGCAAACTACGTGCCGGGATTCGCTGACGATAGTTATTGATCGATGCAATTGATTTAATACACATTTACGAATGATCGTGATGATCCACGCATTTTTTTCTCATCTTTCCACCCTCTGTTGGTGGGTCAACATTGGGAAGTTAGAGATGGTGGGTTAAAATGTGTGAAGAATACTTTATTGATAATATTGCTCGTAACGCGCGCGACATGTTCAAGAAGCTCATGACAAATTTCACTAATGAGAGTAAAGCATAGCGGTTATAGCAGCACCAATACACCCTCCGTCGGAAACTCCAACCAGCTTAATTTTTTTATTTTCTTTATTTTGTTGAATGCTTTTCAAAGCTTTGTTCATCAAATAAGAATACTTGTGATAATGATTGTATATCGATCCATCGATAGCCGCCCTAATTTCCCGCTCGACGGCTGGAAATTCGGGACAATGAAGTTTTATGAGCGAAGCAGCAGCCACCGCAAAAAGTTGAGTTGAGCGCCTTGCAAATATTTTAACAACCTCTCTCAAGGTATTCATATCTTCGATGCTAGGAATTCGGTCTTCGAAATTGAAATTATTGATGAGAAGCTTTGAAATCCCGGTGCATTCCGGAGTTTTATCGCTGCATGGTCAAGGAAGAATCTTCAAATCAGGACGTGTGTCTTCACTGCGCCCAAAAAAACACGATCGCGCCTCTTACCTCTCGATCTCCGACATATAGGTGGCTTTGAAATTGTATGGTATCTCCATTCCTCCGGGCAACTTTCCCTCAAACAAATTAAAGCATTTCACGTAATCCAAGATCACCAATCGGACCAATTCGCTCACGTACATTCCACTCGACATCTTTTCAAACGGTTGAAATCCCGGTATCGTGCTTTGTTCATCCAACAGCTTGTCATATCTCGTAAATGGCAGGAAGGAGGCACCCATTATGCTCCACTCGGTGTTGATTATCATGTATTCAGGCGAATTTTTGGGAAACTCCATTTTTTTAATTGCCGACGTTTGACAAATGCACGCGGCGTTAGTACCCGTCCCTATAACCGCAGATATGATGGTATTTTGATCTTTGTAAGCACCGGCCACAAGGACACTGACACAGTCATTCACTATGGCCGAGATGTGAGCGTTTACACCCTAGTTTGTTGAAAACTTGCATCGATTAGCCGTTTCAAGTTAGGCCTGTCGTTTTCTCGCTCATCGAGATGTTAAATACCTTTCGCCTAAAAGCTTCTTGCAAAAGATCGACGACATCGTGACCAACCAATCCGGTGATTTTGAATCCTTTACCCATCTGCATAACTGTTCCACGATTGATAGCAGTTTGTCTTTTGGATAAATAAATCCATTTTATTCATTCATTCATCATTATTTATTTACAATGGAAGAGGATCGTTAAGTTTAAATAAAAAGAATCGACGAAAAATTTCGGTCAGCCTTACCTTATAGGAAAACTGAATGTTACCCCCATGGGCATTTCCTCTTTGTTATCATTCGCTCCCTTTGCCGTTGTTAAGAGTGTTTCCTGTAATTCTTTGATCCCCAACGCGATCCAATCAAATAATTTTTCAACGGGTCCAACTTTCAATTCGTCCGGGATCACGTACGCTTTCTGCTCGATTTCTGTCTTACCATCCCCTAACAAAGTCACCGACGCAACACGTAAATTCATGCCTCCCAGATCCAATGATAAATATGTGCCAGTTTCTTTGCCGGTGGGAAGACGCGAAACATACGACGGTATCATGGTGGAATCGTCATTTGCGAGTCCATAATGAAATGATTCCAAAAAGTCATCTATCATCCCTTGCAATTTCGAGTCTTCAATGGTCGTCTGCTGCACCAGCTCTGATAGAGTTGGAATCGGTTCATCCATTTTTGATTCTTTTCTGGACTCTCGGTATACCAAAAAATAATGGTGTGCGCAAGAAGAATTCCATTGTTGGAATGAAAAGCTTGTTATATACAAGCGAGTCAACAGCCAAAATTTCACGTGAACACTAAACTCGTAAAGTTTTAATTAGCTGCGGTGAAACACCATGAATATGTGAAAAGGACCAATACCAACACTTTTCACAGGTTTCTTATACTGTCTGTTCACGATGGGCGGAAAATGGTAAGAAAGATAAGAAAACAAAGTTACGAATATCACCCGGGGCATCGCACGGGTGACTTTTCAGTCATTGAAAAGCCCCCCTTAAAAGAAAGTAAATATTCCTCAAATTGGTAATTATTAGATTAGCGAGTGTTTATTGTATTATTTTATTATTCGCATGTTGCAAGATCCGGGTTTCTTATGTAATCCACTAAAATCCCGAATTTTCGTGGGTACATAATCATCCCGGACTTCCCCAACCTTAAACATCGTCTCACGGCGAAAAATCTTTCCGTGTAACGTTGCGAATGAGAAATGTCGCACAATGTTCCATTTTTGTAATTCTAATCAAGATAGACCACCGCGCGGATACTGAATAATTTGTTCAATCATAGAAGGTTTCATCAACATTAAACAGAATGCAGTAAGTCACAAAACAGCCGATGAATGGGTTTTTATTGACGCACCAGTTCCCAGAGTGCATGGCGTCGAAAGCCTTGTTAATCTCTTCCATTTTGAATTTATGCGTGATAAACAAGTCAACTTCCAATTTCTTGTTCAGATAATCTTCCACAATTCCAGGTAACTCGGATCTTCCTTTAACACCACCGAACGCGGAACCTTTCCAAATACGACCGGTCACAAGTTGAAATGGACGTGTCGAAATTTCTTCGCCGGCGGCCGCAACTCCAATGATAATCGACTGCCCCCACCCTTTGTGACAGGACTGAATGAAATGGTGAGATTCAATCTCAATTTTTTAAAAAAAAATGGTGCGAATCCGTCAGGACATATTACCTCGAGTGCGGCACGCATGATATCGATATTTCCCGTGGCATCAAAAGTATAATCCAAACCTCCATCGGTCATCTCAACCAATACCTAAAGAGAGAGAGAGAATGAGGGATTAAGTTAGTTAATGATAGCATTTATTAACCCGAGCCATCGGAAATTTTGCGAATTCGTTACTTGTTGAATGGGTTTGTCGTAATCCTTGGGATTAATGACATCGGTGGCACCTAATTTCCTTGCTTTATAGAATAGGCAAACGATATCATTGGAATATGATTGACGCACAAGTTTGAAAGAAAGATACATTGGTTACGGTTTACCATATTCGAATTTCCCAGGGTTTACGTCAATAGCAATGATTCGACTGTAAACCGACACCGGATTTAGTGGTGTGCATGAGAGGAATAAAAAGTCATTCGAGTTTTTTAAACAAACACCTGGCATTACGAGCCTTCGCACCCTGGATAACCGATAATCCTACTCCACCACATCCGAATACCGCGACAGACGAACCAGGTTGAACATCGGCTGTCTTCGTGACCGCACCGTAGCCTTTATGATACACACGTCGAATTCGAAATCTCGATTCCATTGCAATGACATTTTTTTAAAAAAAAAACCCCCACATACCGGTAGTGATACCACATCCAAGTAAGCAAACCTTATCCAATGGCGCAGCTGGATTGATCTTGGCAGCTGATATTTCTGGCAAGACTGTGTTTCACGCTCGAAAGGTTATGCGACCTCCTCGGAATGCAAAAACAACCGAACAGCATAATAACAAGTTACCCGTGTATTGGCTGAAGGTGGAGCAACCCATGTAATGATATACATTTTTTCCTTTACACCGGAAACGTGTCGTCTCATCGGGCATCAACCCGCGTCCCTGAATTGAAAGTGCTCGATAAACGAAAATTTGATGGTCTCGTGGTGAACATGCAATTGGGAATAGCTTACCTGTGTATTTCTCACTAATGAACACAGGTTCGTCTTTCCGCTCTTACAGAATTTGCATTGACGACATTCCGGAATATACAACGGAACAACGTGATCCCCTGGTTGCAGTGAGGTGACACCCTCCCCGACCGATTCGACCACACCGCCTCCCTCGTGACCAAAAATAACCGGCCACCATTCGCCCTCGGGATCTTTGAAAATTACATTAACATACAATATTTCAAGAATCGCATCATTAAACATGAATCGATCGATACCTTTGCCTGATAGAGTGTAAGCATCGGTATGACAGCTACAAAAATGTATGCAATTTTAATAATTGTCACCCGACAATACCACCACGCCCAACTTACACTCCGGTAGCAAAGATCTTTACTCTGATTTCTCCCTTCTGTTTATAAATTGTGAGTGAGATTTCAATTGATTAGAATTTGCAACAAGAATTAGAAAAATTGACTACCTTCGGAGGCAGAACCTCCACCTCTTCTATGCCTAATTTTCACAAAAGATAAGGAATTAAAGCAACTTTATGAAAATCGATTAATCTTTAACCTCATTACTTAAAGGTTGAGCTGGTCCCCACGCAACTGCGGCTTTACATTTGATTATCTAATCAGGGATGGTTTGTTAATATTTTCACTTATAACTTGGATAAATATTCATTTTGTAAATTAGATTATTGTTGACGAGAGGATCTCACTTTTCCAGCAAACGACATTTTTGCCTGCGCTGGTCGAAATGCAAAAAATCCAGGTTTTTTTATAGCGATAAGTAATCAATTCTAGTATGTATTAAGAATTTCGATTCATTCTTCACAAATGGCATAAATAGATGATTATCGGGAAATCACTAGTCAAAACCAGTTAAAAAATTTATCTTACTGTACCACATTACGTAGTAATGCAGTACGTGAATCTAACCGGACAGTAAAGTTGACCAAGACGCGCCCGTTAAACCTCTTGGCACAAACCCACGTGATTATAAGGGATTAATAATTACCAGTTACGTGCTTTATTTACAAGCAAGATAAGCTTCGATAAATATAATAATGCCTCATATCAGATATACAGTATATAATATAAAATTTTTTTAGGAGTTATACAGTATCTTCTTTTAAATATACACATGTGTAGTATATTTTTTTACAATAGAGTATATCGAACATACCTTGATAGCGAAAGACAAATATAATACTAATGAATTGATCTATACAATTATATATACAGTACATACAGTATGTGACAAAAAAAATGAGAAAAATTTCATGTGACAAAAAATTTATGTAACTTACTCAAATTGACTCCAATTAGGGTGGCCGGAAATAAGCACTATGCATATTATATAATTTGCGCAGTTCGCGCAATTTTTCTGATCATCTAAAAAAAAAAAATGATTACCACTAGTGAACATCAACGAGAATGTGATCTTTATCGAAAAAATTTTTACATAGAAGGCAAAAAACTATTTTGTGTTTTTTGCAACTATGTAGTAAATCATAAAAAAAAGTTTTCAGTTGATCAACATTTGAAAACTGAAAAACATAAAAATAATAAAAAAAAAAACCATATAAAGAACATGCCAACTTACACTTATGGGTTCAGTTGATTTAGCAAGTGATTGTAAAACAATTAATATAGATCTGGTTCGAGCATTTACTCAAGCAAACATACCATTAGAGAAAATTGATAAGCTTAAATCATTTTTGTTTCAATATTGTAAAAATGGTAAGTTATATTATATTATAATATATTATATATATTTTTCTAATTTATTTTTATTATAAATAGGAGATACTATTGTTGGATCTTTGCAACTTCGAGAAAAATATTTACCAATTGTATATAATATAGAATTAAAAAATTTAAAACCTATTTTGATAGAACAAGCAATTTCAATTACTGTTGATGAATCAACTAATACTATAGTTATGAATATACAACCGTAAACATTTTGTTTAGTTTTAAAAATTTTGCAAAACTTGTTAGAATTGAACATTTAGCAATTATAGATAATTTATCTATTGCACAATTAGTTATATGTACTATTTATTTTTATAATATTTCTTTTGAAAATATTATTTTATTTATTTCAGATAATGCTTCATATATGTTAAAAGCTTTTACTGTTTTATCTCCTTTAATTCCTCAAATGAAATATAATTGTTGTTTTGCATATATTTTAAATTTGATGAATAATACTTGAATAGAATTTAATAATTTTAAACCATTAGAAATTGCTATTCAAAATATTAAAACATCTTTTGTTCAAAATAATTCTCACAAAAGAAGATTATTTCTTTTTAAAATTCATTTTCCTTTTTTGATAATCCAACTTTACTTTCTTTACCTATAAAAAATAGATGGAATTCTTGATTTAATTTTGTTTTTTGAATAGAAAAACATTTACATTATTTGAAAGTTTTTTTTCTTCAAGAAGAAAATACAAATAATAAAAGCAAGGCAGTTAAAGAATTAATATTAGTGTTTAATAATTCAACAAATACTTTTATATTTGAAATTTTAACAATGTTTATTGTATTTAATGCAAAAAGGTAAGTTATTTATATTATAATTTTAATTAATCAATTAACTAATTAACTAATAATTATTTTTTTATTATTATAGTCTTTATAATAGTTTAAAATTTTTTAAAATTCATAACAAACCTATAGCATATCTTGTGTTTACAAAATTACATTTACTTGAATCTCATTTACAATCAGGTACAATTTAACCTCCAATTAGTAGTAAAATGAATATCAAATTTGATTCTTTAAATGTAGATTCATCAATATTTTAAGAAATATTTTGTAGAGCTTTTTAATCAGCATTAAATAAGTTTAAAAAACATATTGACCATCATTCTATATTACCATTATTTAAAGCTATTCAATGTTTTAATCCTCAATTTATATAAGTTAGTCAAGCAAGATATAATATTCAAAGATATAGTGAAATCAAAGAATTTAAAAATCCTAGTAGTAATATTTTATTTGAATAGGGAATTTATTGTAAATTAAATGAAGATTTTGAAGAAAATAATGAATTAGATTTAGATAAATATTGGAATGATAAAAAAAATTATCTTCCAAATTTGTCTAAAATAGCATTAATG